CTGTCCATCACCATCCATGCATCCCATAACCACCCACCCATGCATGTATATACCTGTCCATCACCACCCATGCATGTATGACCTGTCCATCACCACCCATACATCCTGTACGTACCCACCCATGCATGTATGTACCTGTCCATCACCATCCATGCATCCCGTAACCACCCATCTACACATGTATGACCTGTCCATCACCATCCATGCATCCCGTAATCACCCACCTACACATGTATGACCTGTCCATCACCATCCATGCATCCCGTAATCACCCATCTATGCATGTATGACCTGTCAATCACCATCCATGCATCCCATACCCACCCACCCATGCATGTATGTACCTGTCCATCACCATCCATGCATCCCGTAACCACCCACCTACGCATGTATGACCTGTCAATCACCATCCATGCATCCCGTACCCACCCACCCATGCATGTATGTACCTGTCCATCACCATCCATGCATCCTGTACCCACCCACCAATGCATGTATGTACCTGTCCATCACCATCCATGCATCCTGTACCCACCCACCCATGTGTCTGTCCATTCATCCACCCATCCATCCCTGCCCAAGTGGGCTTCAGCCTCCTCCTCCTCGGCTCTTCCAGAAACTTGGCATCTAGGCCTAGTAGTCCAATGGCCACACATGTGTGGCTAAATGAGGCCCTTCACATTGCCACTTATGTCAAGACAACACCAGAACCCTGTGCTGTGGGGGCGTTGGGGCGCCAGCATTTGCGGTAAAGCAGGCCACATCGCTGCCCCTGTCTGGGCCTGAGCCTAGCATCTAACAGCAGGCAGTGGTTCCGGTGAACGCCAGGCCCATGTCTGGGAAGCCATAGTGACAGAGTAGGGACAAAGCCAGGGGCACCTGGGCCTCTTCACAGCGGTAGCTCCTCTAGGAAGACCCTGTTCCCACCCATTCCTGGCAGCTGAGGGGCAACAGCCAATGAGGGGAGGTGTCCTGGGGAGGGCGGGAGGTGGTGGGGAATATAACTCTGCTGAGGGACAGTAAGTGGCCTCCAGGGAGGAGAAATAGATACCTGGGAAGATGAGGGTGGGGACAGACTGACTCAACTTGGGAGACAGGTGCTACCTCAGAGGGCTGGGCCTGTTGGACTGCAACCTGGTTCTTTCCTGCAATTAGCTAACATAACAGGAAGGGAAGGGACATTGACAGCTCTTTATTTATAATGGATCTGGTATTACAAACATAAGAGGAAAGGTCCCTGTGGGCCCATAATTCAAAATCACCACTCATAGAGTGCCCTGGTGTCACAGCTCACAGTAACCTTACAGGTGTGAGCCACTCCACCTGGCCAAAAAGCCAGCTTTTTTTTTTTTTTTTT